GGGATCTTGAAAAGGAGGAGGAAATGAGTCTGGGAGAGCAAGGATGTGACTTTCCCAGCCAGGGGGTGGATTCATGATGGAACATGCTGCCAGATTGGGCTGCAGTTTATCCTGAACCAAACTTGGGGGATTAGCTCATTCCAAAATGATGAAGAGATCTTTTCTCCTTCCTGCATGTTCACGGCATCTGGCAGGATCATTAGTAGGGGTTGGTGGGGTAAGGCTGTTGATCACAATATGCTTAGCCTGGGTCAGGTGGGGTGGATTGGGGAGAAGTCATGGCCTTGGTGACCAAGTCCTGAGAGTTTTTCATCCAATAGGTGCTCAGTAGATGCTGGTGATGATGGCAGTCAAGGGTAGAGGAAATAAATGGGTTCAAACTCCAGGGTCCTAACGTGCATGATGAGACTTAGGACATATTTCCCCACTACCTTCCTGGCTGGGGCGGCTGTGCACTGGTCATGCAGAATAATGACATCTGCCAGAGCTCTTTGCAGTTCGGGGCAGTTGATTAAAGGAACTCTGGATTATGAAGGGGAAGTGATGTGTGCAAGTTCCAGGGTATGTCTTTATGGGGAGAGTGCCTTCCTCCTCTCCATGTTTATCTTATGCCTTGGAATGTGAATGTCACAAGGCACCAAGGTGGACCATGTGAATGAGAGCAATACTCTAGAGATGGCAGAGCTGCCATCTGAGACAAGGCTGTCATTTCTGAATTGTTGAAAGTTGCTCTCTTGTATAAGCCAAGCACATTTTTAGATCTGTAACTCACATTCAGACCTGTCTCCCACTACTCCACTGCCCAGCCCTCACCTGGGCATGCTCACAGCTTTCAGAGGCTGTTCTCAGACTTTCCTCTGTGGAGGAACAATGTAGGACAATGTCCAAAGAAGAAAGGCCAATGTGCGACTTACTGAAGGGTGTGTGTTTATATTGACATGCTCGTTTGGTTCCAGGTTTCTGTCCTTTTCCATGGAGTCAACAGCACACACCAGGACCCCAGTATAAAGCAATAATCTGAGAAACTCAAGCAGGTGTAAGATATGTTCAAGTAAAAAATCAAGATGGGTCAATAAGGCCTGAGGGGCTGCTGGGCTTGCAACTGGGTTGAGCCTACTGTTGGGTCACTGGTGCATTGGTGCATTGCTTAGAGCTGGTATGGACCCCCAGCATGGGTACAACTTTTTGCCCTGGGCTCTGTTCCGCCTCTCAGGAGTCTGGTATGACTCCACATCTCCAAAGTGGGCATGAGAATCTTTATTTTTCCTTTGCAATTTTCAACATTCCCTTTCCTGATGTGGAGTTCACCCTCTACATCCTGAGCATCCTAAGAAATCCTGAGATGGTAAGTGGGGCAATATTTGCATTATGACAATGCTGTCGTGTCTAGCCTTTCTGTGAATTCTGGTCCAGTTTTTTTTTTTTTTTTTTTTCCCATTTTCAGAGCCTAGGACAAGGAGAACGGGGGTGGGCTGCATACTAATGTGTCCATATGTGGAAAGCATGCAATGGGAAACCCTAGGGTCTCAGTAATGAGCACATTCTAACTCTGACTTGCCAATGCCACCTATTCTGGGAGTTGATAATTTACTTTCTATTAGTTTCTTCTCTGTGCCCCCTTGGGGACTGTAGCCCATCCCTGTGGAGGGGAGAGAAAAAGGAGGGTGAGCAGAACCCAGATGAGACAGTGCCCCTGCACCCAGGGTATTCTTGGGCAGCTTATGAGCAAGGGTAGGATGGCCCAATGAAGGTTCAGGAACCCCCAGGTCTCTCTCTCACCTTCCTTCAGTCTGCTGCTGCCATTTTATTTTATTGTCATCTTTGATTTTGATTCTCTCTTTTCACTGTATTCCACCTCTTACACCATCATCAGGTCAAGTTGCCCAAAGCAACTTCCAGTGAGTGACTCCTTGGCATTCCTGAGCTGAGCACACATTCAGGTTGTGGCTGCCATACAGCCTCTGGCCCACCATGACCATGATGGGTGGCCACAGAATCCACACACCATTTGCTGAGCACCCACTATGTGCTGCACTAACTGCTTCACACAAGAACTCATTTTAGATCAGGAATGGCTAGCTGTAAGCAGGCATTGGAATCCAATCTGAGTGACCCTAAAGCTACATCTTCCAGAAGCCTATCCATGCTGGGTCATTGGTAAACTCTATGGTGGCAAGAGTACCAGCTAATGATCAAAAAGTATGCCACCTGGATGACAGTCTTCATGTCACCAGCCCTCTGGCCTATCTATCCATGTATCCATGACCTTCAGTCTTTCACATTATCGCCACCACAAACCTCTCAGGTTAGGGAGGTAAGCACTCTCTCTACAGGTAAAGAAGTAAACCCAAACCCAGAAGACAAGGCAAGCAGAAACCTTGGAGGGAGGGACACTACTCAAAGAAGGGGTGGATGGTCTTGTTTTTCTGGAAAGTGCCTTTCCAAAATGAAGATTCTGGTGCACCTAAGGCAAAACCCCTGGATCTGAATTCCCAGTATAAACCCTCTGAGTCTAGGATGAGGAGCTTGAAGAGGGAAGGGAGGAAAGAAAAGAGGGAGGAAGGTGAGTTGGGAAATAGCTGGAGCTATTATCAGAAATCTCTTCCTCACCCCTCTCTAGTCTCTTCCCAACTCTCTCCTCAGGGACAGGGCAGGGCTCTGGTCATCTGGTAGCTTCCGCCACACAGGTAAGCATTACTCAGACCTGACGTCCCACAGGTAAGCATTATTCAGACCTGACTCCCCAGCTGGAGTGGGAGAGACTCACCAGCCTGGAGCCAGATCTGTTCCAGTGTGGTCCACAGTTGCATGGGGCCCTGTTTTAGGACTGAGGTGGGCATGGTCAGCTCCGACATGGCCTCCTCCAACCGTGAGGCTGCGATAGATGATGCCCGCCGAGAACCTGCAGAGCAAGAGGGCACAGGGCTGAGTAGCAGTCAGGATGCCATGTGCTGCAGGCCCAGGAGCAGTTAATGCCCAGCACCATGTGGCAGACAGGGCATCCAGGGCAGGGCAGGGCAGGGCAGGGCAGAGAAGCCACAAAAAACTGCTCACATACCCACTAGGGAGGGCCTTTCGCCCACTCTCCTCCACAGTTGGGGAGAGGAGCTTTTTAAGTGGTAATCTGGCAAAAATCCCACTGAGAATCTATCCCTAAGGAAAATAATCATAAATGTCAGTGAAGATGATCATTTGACTCCTGCCTTTAATACTGAAAACAGAAATTACCTGAATGTTCAACAATAGGGGCTGATTAAAAATAAGTGAGGTATAATCATGCAAGGCTCTGTAGTCATTACAACCTCATGAACATGTGACAGTGATGTGGAAAGATGTTCACACTGTAGAGGTAGGTGCAGAACAGCATACTACCAAAGAATGTGATCACATTAAAAAATAAATAAATATGGGCTTGCATGGAGAGAAGTCTGAAGGGCCATTTACTCAAGTCTAGGTGAGGGATGAGGTTTTTTTGGGGTTGTTTTTTTTTTTTTTTTTTTTTTGGTCTTTTTGAAACAGGGTCTCCCTGTAGCCCAGCTGGCCTGCAACTCACTATGTAGACCAGACTGGCCTTGAACTCACAGAGATCCACCTGCCTCTGCCTCTCAAGTGCTGGGACTACAGACGTGCACCACCACACTTGGCTTTGGATTTTTTTTTAAGTTTCAAAATTTATTTTTATTTTATGTAAATGAGTGGTTTGCCTGAATGTAACTGTACCACATGTGTGCAATGCCTGTGGAGGCCAGAAGAGGGTGCTGGATCCCCTGGAACTGGAGTTACAGATGGTTGTTAGCTACTATGGGGATTCTGGGAACTAAACCTGGGTCCTCTGGAAGAGCAGTCAGTGCTACCACTAGCCACCTCTCCAGCCCCTAGGGATAGGTTTTTTTCTCCTTTTGCTATTTTGATTTCCTGTTTTCATGAAGTACTTATTGTTTTATATGTGTGAAGATCCCATTCAAAGCTGTGAAGTGAAGGATCCTTAGGGAATGGCTAAAGTCTGACCTGTGCCCTCAGAAAACCTCTTCTGTGGCAGTTGTGGGTGGTGTGGGCCCCTGTTCAGGATATATAAGCTGTTGACATTTATAATTCCCATGTAGGTGAAATACGAGCTCTCTCTCTCTCTCTCTCTCTCTCTCTCTCTCTCTCTCTCTCTCTCCCTCCCTCTCTCCCTCCCTCCCTCCCTCCTTCTGAGACAGTAGACACTACAATAAACTGAGAACGCCTCAACACAACACACATATGTCTCTCTCTCTCCCTCCCTCCCTCCCTCCCTCCCTCCCTCCCTCCTTCTGAGGCAGTGAAGACTCCAATAAATTCAGGAAGCCTCAGGACAAACCACAGATGACTATAGTTTATAAGACAAAGATTCGTAAAGTCCTAGTAACTGTACACAAGTCTCTCTTTGATTGCAAGGGAGCTGCCACCCCCCACTTAACCATGACCACCTGGGGGACAGTGACTTCCCCAGTAGCCAAGCACCCTTGCAATGTGTCTTTGGAGTCAGGTGCGGGGTTATCCATTCCACCTCTTGACAACAAAGTACAACTTGGCTCATGTCCCCAGAAGTGGGGGGGGCGGGGGGGAGAGCAATTCTAGCAAATCCAGCTCCATTTGCCCTCTCATCTCATGACTAACTCCTCTGGTGTTTTTGAGGAAGGTCTTCCACTGTAAGTAGGTCCTTGGCTTAAAGATGCATGTTTGTGGTTCCTGAACTCATTTGAATTTCACAAGCCCCAGGTTTCAGGATGAATTTTTCCAGGAAAGAGTCAGTCTTGAGTTTAGAACGGATAAAAGCTCACTCATTCCTTCCTGTTTGACTCCTGGGCTGGACACTGGGTAGAGCCTCTGACTTCAGCCCAAGGGGCAGTAGTCTCTGCTCCAGGCCAGTTTTCTGCCCCAGGATCCCTTCTCTTTTCTCATGAGGCAGGGCCTTCTGTTGCCCACTCCAGGTGCCCACCACCCAGATGAGGGCCAGCTGCTGGCATCACCCAGAGCCAAGATCAGCCCAGATCTTACCAGAGTCTGCATCGTGGGCATCCGGCAGGGTCAGGTGCATGCCACTCTGTTTCTTAACTGTGAGGCCTTCTCCAAAGTTGCTGTCCTTTTCCAGGCCTCTGAAAGGCAAGGGAGGGCAGGGCTCCATGAGGCAGAGGGCTGGCTTCCTCAGAGCCAGCAGGGAACATGAAGGGACCTTACTCTAGCAGGCTCTGGGGCCGAGAGTTCAAGCTCAAGAAACAATCAAGGCAGGCTGGCAGGGATAGATGAAGACAAACAGAGGGATAGACAGAGCAGCACGGGGCCTGCACCACATAGGCTGACTCAGAAACCCTCTCTACTGTCCATTCCCTCCTTGGAGTTCAGTGAGGCCAGAAGTCTCCCAGGCCAGGGCAAGGCCTCTTCTACCTCTGGCCACTTTCATCATGTCCAGCAGAGCATCAGACACAGGGACTTCTGCTCATACCTTTCCACGGGATCCTCTACCCAAAGAGCTGGGGGTGAGGGGATCTGAGTGGCAGACAAACAAATATGGTAACCCTATTTTATCTCCCACCCAGTTCCCCAAGTCCCTGCATCTCCCACTCTACTGGGGAGGCTTTGTTTTCTTAGAGTGGAAGGTGAGGGGAGTCAGGAAGGAGGTTCTGGCTCAGAAAGGCAGTAGCTGTCACACCCTTGGCCAAGCCCTCTTCCCACTGCCAAGGAAACCCATAGCACTTGGACCCATGGGTTGCGGAAACTCAAAAGGGCCACAAGGTGTCATCCTTTTGGAGGTACATCAAAATAATGGCTCCATAGATGATGGTGCCGGAGTCTAGGGTATCTTTTTCATCCTAACTCAGGCTCACACACCTTGATTTGGCCTGTGGATGCCCAGCTATCTTAAGTGGGTTTCAATGAAAACCATCTGCCCAAACACAGCTGCTCAGAGCTGGTTCTTTCCCTCTACCATCCTTTTCCCAATTCTGGGAGGTACCCAAGTGAGATGCAAATCAAATGAGCCAGTGTCATTAGGTTGAAATGGTGGTTCACTCCTCAGCTACCTGACTTTTTCCATGACCTTTCTCTCTTGAAAATGAAGATGACATCCAGTTCACAAGACCATTGAATGAGATGGCCTGCAGAGGTACTTAGTACAGTGCTAGCTTCCATGATCTTTAGGCACAGCATCCTAATCCTTCTTTTTCTCTCCTCATAGGAGGGAGCCTCTTTTAGGGTATCAAAACAGCCCATTTGGGTGTGCAGAGTGAGGGGCAGGGGAGGAGGACTGGCTACTTTGAAGAACCTTGTATCAGGTGGGGAAACAGGCCAAGTCTGGCAAGTTGTAAAGACCATTATGGACAGAGCAGAGTTGTTGGTGGCTCCATGAAGAGGGATTAGGGGGTGATGAGACCATCAGGCCAGCAGTTCAGTTTGGGCAGAAGAGAGGGATGTTGGATGGGAGTGGTGCAGGCTGGCTTGGTGGGGTTGGGTAGGAAAGACCCTTAGGCTATGGATCCTGGTCCTTGTCTATGACTGCCCCAAATCAGATTTTACAAGCACTGGCTTCAGGTTCAGAGTTCCAGGTTCAGAGAAAAATTCTTCCTGTCTCTTAAGGCAGCCAGACAGGACTGGATCCAGAATTGTGGGCCAGGTAGTGGTCAGGCTGAGTCCTTTTGCCCTATGTTGGGGTGAAGGAACTCTGGTAGTTTCCTGTGTGATAAGCTTTATCAGCCTCTCAGGATAAAGATGGGAGTGTGTGTATGTGGTGACTTGAAGAGACCTCGAGGCAAACCTGACTGTCCCTGTACTTATGAGTACACCTGGAAGCTCTGTGTCCCGTTGCTCTTAGTCAAATTGGAGTTTGGTGGGGACTCTTCAAGACTGGCCACCTGGATGTGCAGCCCACTGGCCATTCAGATAAGGAGCAGCCAGCTCCAGGGAAGCTCCCGTGCAGAAGTGAGCCAGGCTGTGCACCTGCTCCAACTGCTACAGCCAGCAAGCCAGAGAGCAAAGGGCATCTGAACACAAGTCTCCCCATCCCCAACATACCAGAGAATGGTCCCTGGGCTTATAGTGTCCACTGTCAGGGGGTTTCCCACTTCCTCTCTGGAAAATTCCTCACCATACAGCTTCCTTCTGGCAGTTTCTATCCACTGGTCCTGCCCTGCTCTGCAATCTCCCAGGCTCTACGGTGTGCAAAGGGAGGGCTAACTGTTCCTCAAGTTTTTCATTCCATCCTATTTCCCTGGGGTGTCCTCCCTAAAGGTCCTCCCTAGGGAGTTTGGAGGCCTTCTAGACTCTGAGAGTCTCTCTGAATATAGTCCAGGATTTGGAGATCTGGGTTCAAGCCCCAGTACAGTCATTTAACAAGTGAGTTAAATTAGTTAAGGGCTCTGAGTCACAGTTTCTTTACTGGGCTGAATAAAATCTGACAATGCAGAATATACACATGGCTGATGTATCACATAAAGCCCAGGACCTGGCTCAGGTGCTCAGTAAGGGTTTCTCTACTTTACCCCCCAAGCTCAATTTTCTAAATAGATCTTTGTCATAGAAGACTGTCAAGAGACTAAACTGGACCAAATATATAAAAATCCCCTGTGAACACCAAGGTCCACATTTCCATCTAAACGTTCCCACCACCCTCATTTACCAGGCACTGTGGTCATTCAGCCAACTGTTGTTGAGGAACCACCACGTGCTAACTCTGCCCTCTACCCTGGGGCACCCCAAGGGCAATGACAGCCACTCACCCAAGCTGAGAGAAGTTGTAGAGGGTCTGCCACAGTTGTAGCATTTGCCTGCAAGTCACAAGGGCTTCCTCTGGGCCTTTCAGTACCTGCTCCAGCTTCACCTTGGTGAACATCAGGCTGTGGGGAAGGAGGGGTATAGTCAGAAGGCCCTAGCAAGGCTTTCCTCCAAGGATGGAGCTTGGAGGATTCTGCCCATTAGGGCAGCCCCCATCTGCTCACCTCCCCAACCCACAAGAGGCAGAGTATCCAGAGCAGGCATGACAGCCTCTGCTATACCCATCAGACGCTTGCTTTCTCTATGTGCCTCAGTTTCTCCCCATCTTCACAGTCAAATGATGAGGTACCCTTTCGTGTTTGTCAGTGTCTGTCTCTTGGTCATACAGTATTTTGCCCACCTTTTACAGCACTGTCAGCTGTGAGTCCCTGTCCTGTATGGTTTGCTCTATCTCTCTACAACATCAGCGAAGCAGTATGTGGCCAAGATTTATATTTCTGTGCCCCATAAGGCATAGGACAGAGCCTGAGTAAGGTACACGCCCAGAAAGCTGCTTTGACAGTGCCCTGAACATAGCAGCACTAAACATTTAACCCACACACTTCCGAAGGACTCGAGAGGACCAGGAGGCCCTGCTGTTCCAAGTGCTAGGCATTCCATTTTTAGAGAGGCCTGTGGGTACTGAAAGAGGGGTCCAGGCAACCACAGTTTCCCAGGCAGTATGGGAAGCATTACTGTATTTCTATCATCAGCAAACCAGCAGTATTGATGTATACCAGCTACCTGGGCAGCCTTTGCAGAAGAGTGTTGAGCCACTGAGATCCAAATAAGACTGTGGCCTAGTTCTCAGAGTGGTCAGCAGGGAGGCCCTTTTATGCACTGCATTGTTGCATTGAGCAAATCAGCATGGCTATTAGTCTATGGATTTGATGACTTCCTGTGCAGAAGTATGGACCACAGGAGGCTGCCATACAGGACTTCAGGGAAGCTAAAGTATGCAGGGAGCCCCACCTGAGATGCCCAGGCTGTAGTTCCACCCAGGGAGGCCCAGCTCCACCCAGGGAGGCCTGGCTGTCTCTGTCCTTCCTCTGAGCTTTTCACCTCTTTTCTATGACTTATTGGTAGAGAATGCAGAAGGTAGAATTCTCTCCAGTGTGCTTTCCAGAAAACCTCTCTTCTCCATTTTCATCTCAACCTGGACTTTATTTAAACAACAACAAAAATTTTTGACAAAAGGTCTCATGTAGCCCAGAATGGCCTAGAACTTGGTATATAGTTGAAAATGATGTTGAACTTTGGATCCTCCTGCCTCCACTCCAGACTGTTGGGATTACAGGCATAGGCTACCATGCCCTGTTTTATGTGGGGCTGGGGATTGAATCCAGAGTCTCTTGACTACTAAGCAAATATTTTGCCAACTTTTGTAATTTTTTTTTTTTTCAGACAGGCTTTTGCTGTGGAGCCCTGGCATACCTGAAACACTAAGCTGACCTCAGACTCACAGATGAACCTCTTGTTTCTGCCTCCTGAGTGCTGGGATTATAGGTGTGCACCACCATGCCCTGCTCAACACAGACTTTAGACCGCCCCCCTTTTCCCAACCTTTCTTGAACATCAGCTTATGATCATCTTCTGCCTATGCAGTCCTGAGGGCAGAAACTGAGGTGCATTTCATTACTGAACAGGGTCCAGGCATGATTGGGCATCACAGAGGAGAATGGGTCCTGCTGCCCCTCTCCTTTTCTAGCTCCTCACAGGACCCAGCACTCCACTGGTATGATGTGCCTCTGTTTTCAGGAATATGAAGTAGAAGATACAATTTCTGCCTTCAAGGTAACAATTAGAGTGCTATAAATGTCAAATTGCCCAGAGAATCAAGTGCTGTATTTTTGGATCAGACTCAGTGCAAGGGAAGAACAGAAAAGGGGTCTCTCTGGAGGTGTCGCCTGATGAAAAGGCAGGTGGGGTAGGATTACAGTTGGGAGGAGAAGTTGGAGACAGTGAAGGAGGGCAGCAGCGTTCAGAGCAAAGGGTCCTGGGGAAGACCCCATCTAAGGCTACCCCTCCCTTCAGGCAGCCAGAATTTCAGAGGGCCAGTTCCCAAGGCAGACCAGCCCCGGGCTTCCTGGGGCTCTCCACAGACAGCTTCCTCCTCACTAGTTTCTCTTGGTCAGAGCCCCCTTCCCATTGCTGCCACTGATTGTACTGTAGTTCCCATGCTGGAGCTAGGCTAGGTTTCTGGAGGTACCACAGCCTGGAACAGAAAAGGTTGGAAAGCTTAGGAGCCTCAATCAACATGGCCTATATCCTCCTGGTGGCTGACATTCCATTAGCATGAGTGACATGGAGCAGAATTTCTCAACCCGACCACATCCTCTCTGGGCTGGGCAAGAGTTCCAACAGTCACCCTTGGGCATGAGCCTCACTCCCAGTTCCTGAGGCTCTAGATTAGCTCCTGAGGAGACTTCCTTGGTTGGTAAACACTGCCAGAGGGATCTTCCTCCAGAACTTGCTGCTGTCCACACCATCAGTGTGCAGGGAGGCTCGGGCTCCACCACCCATTCCTGCTACCTCCCCCATGACCTTGGGCTGATCACATGGGTATTCACAGTTGCCTGAGTCTTACATAGGCTCTGGGACTTGTCCTTGTTTTGCTTCACATAGAGGCCTCAGCTGGGACTCACCCTTCCCCCTCTGGTCACCTCCTAAACAGATGTCAACCTCTGACTAGTCTCTGTGTGACCCTTGGGGGTTGTATACACCCTCTTCCAGTTCAACCTTCACAATATCTGGAAGTGGGCACCTGTACACCTGTTGGCCTGCCTCTAAACCAGTGTGGGGCTCCACATGGCAATGGGGACTCACCAAACAACTCAAGGGTCTGCATCTTCAAACAACTTGGCTCCGGTTTTTCTCACTAAGACATTCACACTTAGCCCTGTGAGAGCATAGCCTCTTCACATGCCCAGTCCACTGACATGAGTGGCCACTGTCCACTCACATACTCTAGGCTCAGCCCTTCAGAAAGAGCCCTGGCATGCCACTGTGACAAGTGGGTAACATTTCAGGCTCACACAAACAGGGGAGTCAGAGTTACGGTCACAGCCTCATCAAAACCCCTTGCTTCCAGGGTGGGGGCCAGGGAGGCTCTGGCAGAGGTGGGTAAGAAAGTGGACAAGCGCGGCTTTCCACCACCTTCAGGCCCACTGCCTGTCTTATACATAGGAGTCTAAAATGCCTTTTGAATGAACAATTACAAGACTTTAGGAAAAAATTCCAAAGCCCTAGTCCTGCTCCAAAGAAGCTGCTAGGTGACCATTTTGCCATTCTCTGACTGGGACTGTGTTCAGTTAGCACTTAATTACATTCCCTTTCTCTCTCTCTCTCTCTCTCTCTCTCTCTCTCTCTCTCCCCCCTCCTCTCCTCTCCTCTCCTCTCCTCTCCCTCTCTCCCTCTCATTTGAGATTTGATAATGAAGATAAGCTTTTAGCAATTATTTCTGTCAGGGGCTGCAGAAATGACTCAGCCTCTGAGATCATTGGCTACTTTTACAGAGGACCCGGGTTCAGTTCCCAGCACCCACATAGTGGCTAACAATTATCCATAACTCCAGTTTCAGGGGATCTGATGCCCTCCTCAGGCATCCATGGGCACCGCATGACACAGGTACACTTATACATGCATGCAGGCAAAACATTCAAAATATAAAATAAAAATAAACTTATAAAAAAAGTATTTTTTTGTCAGATACTCTAGAAACAGTATGCAGTCAGTCCTGGTGTGGGAGGTAAATTCACCATTTATCTTGTCTGTGTCTTGCTCTATGTACACGCCCACCTGACCAACAAGTACCAGCAGCCCTACCTCCCTCAGCAGCAGTGTCTGCTTAGTACTGAAGTCTGGTCACTTGACTCCTCGAAGCTGTAGCTGTGGGTCAGACTCACAGCAGGGAGGCAACACACTGGCCAATTTCATTCCAAACTGTTCACAAACAAGGTCTTACGTCACAAAGGACAGACCCTGAGGACCCATGTGCCTGAGTCTGACTCTTTCTAATTGGAGGTGGGAGGGGTCTTCATTTAAGGGGAAAAAGACCAAAAAGTATTAACTGAGGAGCATCTCCAAGACTGGAATACCAGAATCTATTTGGCGTCCAATATTTGGGTACTCTGACAAAAGCTGTTCCAGGAAAGGGACGGTCAACTTTGGTCACATTATTGTCCTCAAACTGCACCATGAATACTGGCCTGGGAGTCAGAAACTTGAGCCAACGTCCCACCTCTGGTGAGCATGTCACAGGCTCCATACCTGTCAAACAGGAGTGAAGTCACCTATTCACATGCTCCCATAATGCTGAACCTTGGCGACACATGAGCAACAGCTGGGAAACCCAAGGAGGCACTTCACACTGCAGTGTGGCCTGCCTGATGCTCCAGTCAGACTTTCTGCTTTGAAGCTGTAATCCTATCAGACCTGGAAGAATGTATTTCTAGGCCAGGTGCCTCTGAGGGCTCTGGAAAGTTCTTGAGCTTTCCTTGTCTATTTAGTAGGGTCTATAAGACACAATGGCCGAGTCCTGGGCAAAGCATTGTCCTCAGCTGGGACAACCCTCTTGCAGGCCCTTCCTTCCTTCCTTCCTTCCTTCCTTCCTTCCTTCCTTCCTTCCTTCCTTCCTTCCTTCCTCCTCTTCCTCCTCCATCTCCTCCTTCCTTCCCTTTCCTCTTTCTTCTTCTTCCTCTTCTTCTTGTAAGATAGGGTCTCACTATGCTTCCCAGGATAGCCTTGAATCCCTGGGCTCAAGCAATTCTCTCACCTTAGTCTCCAGAGTAGTTGGAACTATAGGAATACTTCTTTCCTGTTTTCTCTCTCTCTCTCTCTCTCTCTCTCTCTCTCTCTCTCTCTCTCTGTACATGTGGAGGCCAGAGATTGATGTCAGTTATCTTCCCAAAAAGCTCTCTACTTTTTTTTTTAAAGACAAGATCTTACTACGTAACCCTTACTGACCTAGAACTCACTATATAGACCAGGCTATCATCAGACTCACAGAGATCCACCTGACTCTGCCTCCCAAATTCTGAGACTCTCCACTTTATTTTTTGAGACAGAATCTCTCACTGAACCT